TAGCACTCGACATTCGTTCTTCCAGTTGAATGAGTAGAGTTCCATGCGGTCAGGCAAGTTGTCGAGGTCGGCTACCTATGCGTGGAAGTCACCACGACGCCAAACGAGCTTCAGGCTTCAGTGTTGAAAGGTCACGAGTCAGAAGATACTGGGAAGCGAGTTGAATCTTGATGTTAAGCTTTAGCGGGACTATAATGCTGTTTAGCTTCTTCTTGAGCAGCGTCACGGCGAGAAGGATTGATGAATGCATCCAATTTTATTGAAAGGGTTAGCAATCAACATCGTCTCACTCTCTAAACACACGAAAACAAACGAGGCTGAGTAGAGAAATCTCTACCAAATGAACCGTTGAGCTCTAACGAACCAGAACCGCAATGTTCGATAAATTTCCGTTCTGAACACTAGTGGAAGCATCAAAGCTGCAAAGCATGTGGTCCTCGTCAGAGTCGAACCTTCGATTGGAAACAAAGGTTCAGCCAAGATGCTCCTCTGTGGGGTATATATACTCGTACCAGTCTCTAGAATCAGTCTCGAGTACTTGGACCTCGAATTCTCCAAAAGTTGTCAAAGATAGCGACGGGCCGTGTTCAGCGACTGTGGCTCAATGCAAGTTCTCCTTCGCCACATCCGGCATCGCGCTCACCCTTTCTCAAGAACATTACTACTATCTCGTTCATTCGCAATGACTCAAAATAACCTAGTAAGTGACAGTGTTCATGCCTCTTATCATCTCGTCTGTGAGATGTTTAGTGCCGAATGCCTCTTACGCCACCCACCTCTACAGCCGGTTCAGATGACCAAGGAAGGCGCAGTGTGCATCGACTATCCTACACTCGTATCAACACCAGAACTCCTTCAAGACTCTATCAAAAAGGCATTTGGGTCTGAGCCGGACTGTCTTGGCATTATCGTCGTGAACAAGTTGCCGCCCGAGTACCCAAAGTACAGAGAGAGGTTATTGAGACTTGCCGAGAGGTTTGCAGCTATGAAGGAGGAGAGGAGAGAAAAGTATGCAGATCCCAAGAGCAGATACAGGTGAGACATTCAGAAGTCTCTCCAAACTTTCTGATTATGGAAACTGTTTGCAGCTTTGGATGGAGTCATGGAAAGGAAATCATGAATGGAAAGCCGGATACTCTAAAGGGTAGCTATTATGCAAATCCCACCGTGGACTATCCTACTGTATCAGAGGAGGAGAGGCAGGCTCACCCAGAATATTACGGGCGTAATATCTGGCCTGAGGCAAATGAACAAGGTGTCGAGGGCTTTGAAGAAGCATTCAAGGACCTCGGGAGGTACCTATATCGTTAATCCTCCAGGGTGTCAATATTAAATTTCGAATAGGTTCATCTTTAAAGTAGGCACTGAACTTGCTACAGCCTGCCAACCTTTCGGTGCGATTATATTCATGTCTCTCGTAGAATAGGAGCTAATGGTCCGAAAATAACAGCATCTGCACATCTTACTGACAACTCGGTGTCCCTTTCCGAGTTGATCAAGACCTCTCAGACCACCAAAGCGCGCCTACTGCATTACTTCCCACCTTCTGCCGAGAATCCGCTTCCCTCAGATGACGAACCAGTCGACAGTTGGTGTGGCTTCCACTTGGACCATAGTCTGTACGTAAAAATCCCGCGAATTTGGTGAGCCAAGCTCACATTCCTCCTAGTCTCACTGGCCTTTGCTCGGCCATATATCTCTCACATGAAGCAGACGGCTCTGTGCAACTCGTCTCTTCTCCATCCCCGGCATCAGGTCTCTACATTCGCACACGCGGCGGGGATCTAACCAAAGTCTCCATTCCCGTCGACTCGCTCGCTTTCCAAACAGGAGAGGCACTCGAATTAGCAACCGCTGGTAAATTACGTGCAACTCCGCATTGTGTAAGAGTCGGTGCAGGTGAAGGGGCTGAAAAGGTCTCGAGGGAGACGTTTGCATTGTTTATGCAGCCGGACACGACGCGGGTGATCGCTGAAGGGGAAACATTCGGGTCGTTCTCAAAGAAAGTATTCGATGAACATTATGAACCCAGTATGTAAAGTATCGTTTCAACTACGGTCACCAAGGGGTGACAATTCACCTTGTATATTGCTCAATATGTGGGTTGCGGAATGGTGAAATCGGAATGGAATCAAATCAACCTGTTTCAAAATCGTCTATAGATACATTGAATGCCCTCTTCAGTCTTGCAAAAGGAATGTCCACAGAGCGTCAGAGTCCTTGAAATTGTGATGCACGATACTAATGAGCCACCTTTCCTCTCGAATACTCTCTATCAACTTGCGTTGAGCGGAATCCGGTGGGTAGAATAGACTCCATTCTGTCCAGTAGCCAAACGCCTCGTCCTAGGCGAGCGTTAGACTGTTTACCACTCTAATTATAGAACTATTAGCGCTCACCTTCCATGCCAAAAAGGAATCACGCTCAATGATAGTGGGCGAGTTGATCTCCTTTCCAGGGAAGACACCCCATGTAACAGCATTGCTTCCTTCATCCACCATATTCGTCAAGTAGTCGTCCTTTATCTCACACCCCGTCTTGTCGAAGTCAATTCGAAGGGATGGTGGACGGTTGGCTCTCAACCTGCTGTCGACGCCCTACCCTCAGATGACGAGATCTTTGGCTGGGGACCACGGGGAGGATATGTCTTCCAGAAGGCGTTTGTTGAATTCTTCTGTACGAAGGAAGATGTAGAT